TAAAATAAGATCTAAATGACAGTTATTATACATATGAATAAATAAAGTAAGATAAATTCAGACTGTACAGGTATTTAATATTATTATTGCAAATACAATAAGATTTCCCTTATTGATCAAGTATGGAATAATATTACAAATTAATACAATAAAGTTGCTATTCAAAATGTTAAATAAAATCTCCTGAAAAAGTGATTTATGCATTTGTTAGAACAGAATGAGTAATTTAACGAACACATATAAATGTTTAATAAACAAGAACTAAAACTGCAATACTAAACTATTACATTTCCTATTCACTAATTGATTCTACTTAAGAAATCACAGCTATGAGTCGATGGGAATACAGAAAGGTATTACTTGTCTGACACAGGCAGCCTTTAAAAAACAAATCACTCAACTGTTTCTATTAGGAACGCTACGCAGGGAAATGGCTGGGTTGCCAGTTAATAGATCACTTACCTTGAAATTATATTCCCATTTACCTGCTTTCTGATAGGGTAAATAAAAGAGGTATTAAGTAAAGTCTACATATTAACCTCCATGATTTCAGTAAATACTAATCCAACATGTTTTACCTACTGAAAAAAATTCCTTGCATTGTGACTCTGAAACATTTGATACAGATGGCTTTGACTTCATAACAATATTTTCTCAGTCAACTTGCTCAGTCACATGAAAAACAAGGCATTTTTAGCATCATATTTTGCTCCCTTTTTTATTGTGTTGCATAGTGTTTGTTGAGCATAAGTGTTCTATTCTAAAAATAGATCGTCACACTGTATATAGCTGCCTGGATGTTCAAAAAGAACTGTGATTATGCAAACTTATTGCAGGAAAATGTAAATTTCAAATGGATTGAAATGCAATTGCAATATTCAAATACAATATAACAAAAACCTGAATAAAACAGAATGGATGAATGACAGTCCTTTATAAAAATAGCTCTTTAAATGTTTCAGTAAGATGAAATGTAGGGTTATTTTTTCCTTTTTGCCTTAACTCTTGAGTTGGTGGGCTTTCATAGCACCACAGTGTTCAGGTAACTTACTCAAAAGATTCCAGATCAGGTGAGGATTTTGCAGATTTGCTAACAATGATGTTGCCCCACAATCAAACATATTTGGCCAGGAATAGATGATATTGAATTAAATACATGGTTATGTTATTTAATAAGTATTTCATTAAGACAGTAGGACATCACATTTTAAATTAAAGTTGACCAAAGATGTGTATTTATTTTCAACATGCACTTCATTTTATTCAAATAAAAATAGAAGCAATTCAATATTAATTATATTATGAATATGGATATCTAAAGTCTGTAAGCAATTAGACCCTACTAAAAATGTGGTTTTATGACTGTCTGTGTATCTAAATAGACAATATTTACTTAAGAACATTTTTCCAATGATCAAGGAGAAATTCTATGTGAGTAAAATTTTGTGCCACAGAAAATTGATAGCATTTAATTATTTCTTTCATTGATAATACTACACATTTAGCTTATCAGAACATCATCATTAAAGGCATCTAATTGTTTTGAGTTTTTCAATGACCTCAACAGGAATGCAATATAATGGAAAAATTGCTTGAGTGTGTCAGAAACCTGGAGTTTACAAACCCAGAAAAAGCATTTAAATACTCTGAGCTTACATTTGCTAATGGAAAGAATACAAACAAGATATTATTATCACTTAGGACTGTTGTTAAAAATTGCATGGGAAAATTGATGAAATTATAGCCACTCAGAAACTTTAGTTCCTCCTATTCTTTAACTACCCCCTTCAACTAATAGTTAAAAAAACAAAAACAAAAACAAAGAAGCTAAATAGATTCCATGTTTTGAGACTTTATGATACTGTTTTAATTTTTCTCTGGATGGTCCCACAACTCTGTTCCTTTTTATGACTTGCTTTTCTAAGATTCAAAGGACTCAGGGAGACAAATTGATAGAATATTTCAGCTGTTCATACTGTGAGACTCACAACTGTACTGGTAACTAGCTTTCTTTAAATATATCATTAACACGGAAACCCTGCCTCCACCCCTGGCAGTATGATCTTTCTGCTTGAGAGTCCTCCTGATAAAAGCTCAGAGAAGTTTAAGGTAAGTTTTAGCTCTGTAAGTCCACCAAGTTGAACTCCAAGTTTTATTCTGCTTTGAAATTGCATCACTTCAGAAGTTTTTCAAAGAAGAATAATTTTGTCTTTGGTAGCAATAGAGGAAGAAAAAATCACAGAAGTAGCAAGCAGCACTTTGGGTTCACAGCCTGGCGCTCAGTCCACTGAGCCACACCAGCCAGGGCTACCAGCACTTTTTACTGGTTGGAATACGCGAAGACAAGAGCTACTTAGCAGTTATTCCTCTTTCCTCTCTGCTCCTGTTTCCTCCCCAATCTTTCTCAGACACCGTGTCATTTTCCAAAGTGTAGATATGCCCTTTCCTAACTTTGCAGCATTTTTAACAGTGTATAAAAAGACTAAGGAAGATATGCAAAGGTTTGGCCAGTGTCTAGATCTGCCATCCTCAAAGTTTAATATGTATGTGAATCTCTTGGAGATTTTGGTTAAAATATAGACTCTGATTTAGGGTATCAAGGGTGATATCTCTAATTCATAATTTCTAACAAGTTCTCAGGTGATCTTAGTAGTCTTAGAATGACAATGTGGGTAGCAAATGTTGGGACTATTCTGTAGACTGCAGTAACTCTAAACCTAATATTTAGAAGAAGAAATGATCAAATTATATCTCAGTTTTATTAAAAAAATAATTTTCTGTTTTTTCTGACTTCTTCACAGACAATATCAGTCTTTTATTTCAAAGCTGAAATTTTCCAGAAAGGCAATGCATCATTCCTGCAATTATTCTATTTTCTTGTGCCTTCTCCGCATTATGATTTATAGATTTACAAATTTGGGGAAAAATACACTATGATTAAAAATTTTAAATTTGACAAGTTAAACATCACAGTTTAATTTTGAAAATCTAAATATGTAAGACAGTAAATAAAACTGTTATATAATATTAAAGTGATTGAATAGTTTATGTAAAAGTAAACATTTCTCAATATTTATGAGCTTTACGGGTATGTGTTGTAGAAACAAAGTTACCTGATACAAAATTATTATAATAATCTAAAATACTTCAATAGAGAACTCTCACTCATCCAAAATAGTAAATTTACAAAAAAACATTTATTTATCTTAGTTGAAGCTACCTATCATCTTTTTCATTTTTTCTTGAAAATCCCTTAGTATTCAATAGTCTTCCTACTGGCTGATAAAAATATAAATAAAAACATCTAAATGCCAACAATATTTCAGAAATAAAGGAGTTTGAGACATGATTACAAAAGCCAATATCCACTCAAAAATTAAAATGCTTGGAGATTAATAGTGGTATTCTGAAATTCAACAATGCTACATCTTATAAAAAATGTACACGCTTTCCCCTTTTCTTATAAATATATGTTAGATCACACACCCAACAAAATCCTGGTATTCTGGTGGAAATCAAAGAACAAAAACAACAACGAAAAGTTTTATGTTAGAAAAATAACTCTTTCAGGATTTCTCCTTTGTCTGTACATTTATCTGTACTCTTCCTCACACAGGAGGCAGGGAACAAAATAAAGGTTCATATTTACTGACACATATTATTAGAGGAAATGTCTTCTGCTAATATAAAGGGTGGTGATGATAATGAAGAGAAAAATAATGGTTGTCAGATAAATAAGGTGACTAAGGCCTTGGGAGGACAAAGCATAAGGGAGCGCACGGGTGCATCAGAGGAAGGACTTGTGGTGCTGGCTTCAACACTGTGTCCCAGGAGATGTCCTGTCCAAAGAGCCTGGTGATGTTAGGTCAAGTTTAGGCCTGAATTTTAACCCCATGTAACTAGTCAAATCATATAAGAATTCAGTAAGTTCTCCTGATACTCCACTTTAGACAACATCATGCAAAATAAATGACATTAAAAGTTTTTGGAAAAGAAGGCCCTGTTAAGTATCAGTGATATTGATATCACTGCTCTGTAGGTTGGTTTCTAAAATGTCACTCTTGCAGAAATTTTAAGCTTTCATAGAACGTTGCATTTGTGAAATTAATTTACCTCTATTATAATATTTATCATATAAGAATAAAGTTTACTTCTCTTCTTAAATAAGGCACCAACCACTTAATAATGTGGAAAATGTAACACAGATAACCAACTCACTTTGTTAAGCAAAGAGAAATGAAAAAAATTAAGCTGTGTTTCAAGGCAGCTTCCTTGTTCAGAGGAAAATATTTCTTTTTTATTAGCTCCATCTGATGGTTGATCTGGTTTTTACATGCTGCAAGGCTATAAATTCCCAACAGTAATTTTATTGTTTCTTCTCCCGTCTTTCTCTCAGAAAGATGTGCTACGTTGATAAGATTATTGCATTTTTCAGAGTATTAATTGGCATAAAGAATATTCATGCTAATCCCGTCAGGTTTTTTCTTCTCCCTTTAAAGGGAGAAGCAGAGATATCACAGACTTCAACAGTATGAGGTTTACAATATGAAAATGCTGTCGACACTGTCCTGTTCATACATTTGTAGACACACCCCTCAAATACATGCCCTTTACATAGTTTATGTTAGGCATGTACATAGGACAACAAATGTTAAGTACTTAAAAATGACTTTATGTCTCTTGTTTATATTTTATATTTATGAACAAGTTGGACAAACTAACATTCTAATATTATCAGATAGGAGCACACATATTTGAAAATGCAGTTCTTCCAGTGCAGAAAAAAAAAACTTAGGGTTTAGGTATATATAGAAATACAGGTAGGGGAAAAGTATGTTTACAATTGTTCATATAGAAAATGATAAAATAATACATAAATAAGAATACAAGAATAAACTCTGTGCTTCACGTACTCACAAGTGTAAACCCACTTTTGCCCCCCCTGTATATACACTGAGTTGAAACATTATAAAATAATTGAATTAAGGAAAATACTATACCTCAGCATCATATTCCCATAACTGGTTTCCTCTCATATGGTGGCATTTTAACATGATTACCGGCCCATTCAGTCTAGAAACATCCAAGCACAAGTCATCGGTTCGTATTTCTTTGTCAGCAGTATAAGAAAACACCTGCAAATATAAAATTCAGCAAATAATTTAAAAACAAAAATCACAGTATAGCAGATTCATCTCTAGTAGCTTTCACATCAAATAAACTTTCCAGGTGATCTCTACTGTGCGATCATGAGAAAGCTAGTTTATCTCTCCGAGTCCTTTTCTTCAACTGCAAAGTAGGGTGTGTCATCTGTTTTAGGTTTGTGAAGCTTCAATTTAACAAATTAAATTATGAAATGCTTATTATTTGCTGGCACCATATTTCCTGTTTTATACTTGCTTTTTAAAGCTTGCAACAGGTTCAGTAAAATAAAGTTTATACATTGCATGGAACTCAATAAAGGGCAGTCCTTGTTTCCACTACCATATGCCCAGTTCCTCAATCCTAGAGATAATGATGCTTTTCATAAAGAAGTTTAAATCTTTCTTTCCATAAATACATCATGTAAATTTTATTAAATATTGTCTATGAAGGTGTTAGAATGAACTTCCATAGAGATCTCCTGAAAGGTAGACTCTTTGCTTACCTTTCTCATATGGTTTTGACTGGGCTTAAATACAATTCTCAAAATACTCAAGAAATGTTAAGGTGGATAATTCAAACTGATCCTATACAACCTCCATTGCTTTGCTAATGGTGTGAATAATGTATTTATAACATTGGTTATTAAAGTTTCATGAGAGTTATTAAGTACATAATTATAAAAGTTGTTTTCTTCCTCTGTCAAATATTAATCCACTATAAAGCCAGGGATTTATTTCTGGGCTCTCTGTTCTGTTTCATTGATCTATGTATCTATTTTTATGTCAGTACCATGCTGTTTTGACTACTCTGGCCTTACAGTATAGTTTGATATGAGGTAGTATGATTCCTCCAAATTTGTTCTTTTTTCTCAAGATCACTGTTGCTACTAAGGGTCTTTTGTGGTTCCATATGAATTTTAAAATATTTGTTCTAGTTCTGTGAAATGCATCATTGGTATCTTAATAGGAATTGCACTGAATCTATATATATTGCTTGAGGAGTATGGACTTCTTAATTATGTTCGTTCTTCCTATCCATGAACACAGCATATGCTTCTACTTATTTATATCTTCTTCAGTTTCTTTCTTCAGTGTTTTATAATTCTCCAACTACAGGTCTTTTACATCCTTGGTTAAATTTATGCCTAGGTATTTTATTATTTTAAGGCAATTGTGAATGGGATTGTTTTCTTAATTTTCCTTCATGATAGTTCATTGTTGGCATATAACTGATTTCTGGATATTAATTTAGTGTCCTGCTACTTTGCTGAGTTTGTTTATCAGTTCTAGTAATTTCTTGGTGGAATCTTCGGTGTTTTCTATGTATAGTATGATGTCCTCTGGAAATAATTACAGTTTTACTTCTTCTTTTCCAGTATGGATGCCTTTTATTTCTTCTTGTCTAATTGCTATGTCTACGACTTCCAATACTATGTTGAATAAGAGAGGTGAAAGCTGATATATAGGGGAAAACGTGCAGTTTTTGCCTCTTGAGTGTGATGCTTGCAGTAGTTTTGTCATATAATGACCTTTATTATGTTTAGGTGTGTTCCCTCTATTCCCACTTTGCTGAGAGGTTTTATCATAAATTGGCAGTGGATTTTATCAAATGCTTTTTCTGCATCTATTGACAAAATTATGTGCTTTTTACTTTCATTTTGTTTATGTGGTGTATCACATTTATTGTTTGTAAATGTTGTATCAATCTTGCATTATCAGAAGAAATCCCACCTCTTCATGGTGTGTGCTCTTTCTAAGATAGTACTATATTCAGTTTACTAGTTTATTCAATAAATGGTGTTAGAAAAATTGGACAGATATATGCAGACAAATGAAATTAGATCATGTTTTTATGATACACACAAGAATATATTTAAAATTAATTAAAGACTTAAATGTTAGACTCATGATAATAAAATCCTAGAAGAAAACAGGTAGTAAAATTTCAGACAATGCTCACAGCAATATTTTTTTTCTGATCTATCTCCTCAGGCAAGGAAAACAAAAGAAAAATTAAAAATTGCACTACATCAAACTAAAAACTTTTGGATAGCCAAGGAAACCATCAACAAAATAAAAAGACAGCCCACTGAATCAGAGAATATAGTCAATGACACATTAAATAAGGGGTTAATACCTAACATTTATAAAGAATTTATAAAACTTAACACCAAAAAAATAACAAAAACAATCCAATTAAAAATGGGCAAAGAATCCAAATAGACACTTCTCCAAAGAGGACATACAGATGACTAATAGACATATGAAAAGATGCTCAAAATCACTAATCATCAGAGCTATGCAAATTAAAACCACAATGAGATATCAGCTCACAACAACCAAACTGGGTATCATCAATGAGTCAACAAGCAACAAGTGCTGGTGAGGATGTGGAGAAAAGGGAACCCTCATGCTCTATTGGTGGGAATGCAGACTTGTGCAGCCACTGTGGAAAGCAGTATGGAGTTACCTAAAAAAATTTAAAATGGAACTGCATTATGACCCAGTGATTCTACTTCTAAAAATTTATCCAAAGAAACCCAAAACACTAATTCAAAAGAATATAAGTTCCTCTATGTTCATTGCAGTGTTATTTACAATAGCCAATGTTTTGAAGCAGACCAAGTGTCCATCAGTAGATGAGTGGATTAAACAACAATGGGACATTTAGACAACAGAATACTACTTGGCTATAAAAAAAAGAAACCTTTACTCATTGCAACAGCATAGATGGACTTGGAGAACATTATTTTAAGTGAAATAAACCAGTCATAGAAAGACAACTGCCATATGGTTTCACTCATTTGTGGAATCTAATGAACAAACTGAACTAACAAGTAAAATACAGACAGGCTCATAGACAGAGAGCAGGACGACAGCTCTGGGAGGGGGCTGGGGGATGGAGGATCAAGGGAAAAAGAGAAAAGACTCATGGACATGGACAACAGTGTGGTGATTGCTGGTGGAGGTGGAGGTGGAAGAGGTCATAAGGGGGTAAATGGTAATGAAAAAATACAATAAAATAAACTATTAAAAGGAATGAATGAATGAATGAATGAATGAATGGAAGTTGTTTTCCTCCATTAGCTCAGATAACCATGGTTCAGTATTCTATGGCTATCTATTTTTTTTCCTTGCACTGTCAAGAGGCAGTATAATGAGGAAGGCGATCTGTGTCTTTTTGTTTCCCAAAGTCTGATAATTCCAGAGGAATTCGGCTCTATGGATCACTTATAAGCTCAGGAGCCCTAGTTTTTAGCTGAACAAGTTAGTCTTGAAAGGATTGTTGTTACGGTACTGCTACTGCTCAGTTTTCTGAAAACAATAAGAAGTCATGAGAAGAACATGCAATTGGAGCCCAAGAATTCTCTTAAGCCAGCATCTTAAAAGGAAATTCTTCACAGAGGTAATACATCCTACTCAACAATATAAAACCTTGAAAAGTAAGTGGAGTTTCTTTAATTGAAATATTTAAAATATAGTGGCATGAAATACAGGAAAAAAATTCGTCTTTAATACAGTTTAATGTTCATACTTTTCATGGAAAGTATGAGTTATCAAAATAAGAGTAAAAGAAATACCCATTAAAGATACGTATCTGTATCCTTCCCAAACATGATTAGTATTTTTTTTAAATAAACAGAATTACAGTAGTCCTTCTTGCCCATGGTTTTGCTCTTCGTGGTTTCAATGACCTGAGATCAACTACCACCAGAAAGTATTACCTGGAAAATTCCATTAATAAACAATTCATAAATTTAAAATTCTGTACCATTCTGAGTGGCACGATGAAATCTCACACTGACCTGGTCCACCATGCCAGGGGTGGGAATCTTCCCTTTGTCCCACTTGCCTATTCGGTACATGCCTAGAGCCTTAGCCACTAGAAGCCCCTCAGCACATCCACTGTCACTGTGGCACCTTATTGGCATTCAAATGATTGTTCCATTTTATCATTAGTTATTATAATTGTTCTACTTTATTATTAGTCATTGATGTTAGTAACTGATTGATGTTAATCTCTTATTGCACCTAACTTATAAGTTAAACTTTATCATATGCATGTAGGAATAGAAAAAAACATAGTGTAAGTTTCTGTATTATACAGGGTTTCAGGCACCCACTAGGGGCCTTCCAACATGTTCCATAGTGAGCAAATGTACTTAATTAAGTAGCTGAGTCTGGAAGTAAACCTTAATCTGATGGAAGAAAATGCCTAGAGAATTTTCTTTTGCACATTACAGGGTTATTCCAATGTGAAGAATAGTTTTTTTACAATATTACTTTCTTTTAGTTGCTCACATGCAACTAAACAGAGACACCAAAGCACCACAGTTGCCATTAATTTTGTGTGATGAGTACAGTCGTTGCCTGAGCAAACATTCTCCCCGGGTTTCTCATGATGGCTTGGCAACTACACCTGCTGGAAGTTCTAGAGAGCAGTTTACCACATTCTTTGTTCCTCAGTTTCTAATTTTGATTCATATTTTGGTCATTAGTAGATATCCTAAGTAATTTACATCCAGAGAATTTATAATTGCAGAATTTTTTGAGTCTCTCCCTCTCTCTATATATATAATATGCATATATATATACATATATATGAAATTATCTTTCTTTGGACTTTGCACTTGAAAACAAATTTTAACTGCTGATGAAATGCCTGGCTCACAGGTACAATTTTTTTGAAAAATATCTATAGATAATATGCATTCATTACCTTCTGGAATTAATGTAAAAGATTTCTTTGCTTTTTGTACCTGACAATCTTATTTTTATGCTTCAGTGTTTTTAGGATATCTTTAAGTCTATATAATAATAATAAATACATGTCAGTATATACACATCTTTTTAATTTTACTTGGAAATTATTGTTTGATCTCAATTATTTATCTTTTATATTTTTTACCCATAGTTATCATTATGTTTTTTCATATATCCTACTGCAGGAGAGTCTTGGCTTTTGGGATAGCCTGAGATGAAATATTATA